CCCGCGGCCCGCCGGACCCCCCTCGCTCGGGTTGCAGCGGCACCGGGGTCTGAGTCGGGGCATCGCCCAGGGAGCCGCGGGGCCCGCTGCGGCCCCAGCTCCGGCCGGCTCTCGGATCTACTGGGAGTCCCCCGCTACCTGGAATTTCCCCTTAAAGCATTGACTCCCACTTGCGATCGGCGGAATGCGCCCGCTTTTCGTCAAGGAGGACTCGAGCCCTGGAGATAACGGAGCAAAAATCTCGAAAACTTTAAATCTCCAAAACTCAAGCACCAATTAAAGTAAAAGGTTCTCCGATTTGTTCACTGCTTTTTCTCTTTTCTCCAAAATGTGCTTTATACAATATCTCAATGACTAGTGGAATCATTGCAGGGCTACTGCAATGTTACCCGTGTATTTTCCTGTGTATTATTTCCTTCCAGAACTTCTTAGGCTTCCTTGAGCACCTCTAAATAACTTGTATGTAGCCTGCTCGTGTAGATTTGGTGTATGGAGATTGCTCCGCACCCGCCTTTGAATCAGTGTGGAATCTAAATCCTCTCTTTTCAGAACCCTGGTATAAGTCCACTGTGTTCCTGTACCATGAATTGCGGTTCACTTCCTTTGACAAATGGATGCTCAGCTCATAATAAGACATCACTGTGAGTGTACAGAACACGTACACTTGAATGGTTTGTAAGCATGAGTCAGAAGGCAAGTTGTATGGATGCTCCAAACAATGGATGGCTCAAGTTCCAGCTCTGAAACCCCAGCCCCTGTTGCGTGGCAGGACTTCCATGCTAGGACTACCTGAGTGAACAATGCCAGCAACTTTGGCATTTGCTCAGTGCATTTCAGATTAAAAAAATATATGAATGATGCTACTACAGCCATTTATCTCCAGCCATCCGCTCAAGGGGTACTAAGTACTCCTAGAGCCGTAGCCTAGTTCTCACTTCTACCCTGCTCTAGTGCAGCAGACATCTCCAGTCCTCTCCAGACTGCTCCTTGTCCCACTTGAATTTCTGTGCTGAGGGCATTGTACTTGAAGGAAGTAGTAAGTGTGAAAAATCCAACAATACATTTGTGTATTTTATTTTTCCAAGTACCACCATTCTGAGTTTTAAAGTCAGAATAGCAGTGCAGTTACTCTACACCAAGCCAAGAAGAAATATTTCCGCCCCCGCCCCTAAAGTAAGCAGGCCCAAATGTTTTACAGTGCCAAAATGAAGCAAATAATCCTACTTGCTGACTTTTATTCTACTTGGTCTCTGGAGGTGTTTTGGCCTCTGGCCCTCACCCACTCACCAAGTATTAGATTATTTCTCGCTAACTGCAGCCGTGATTTTTGGAAGTTGAGTCTATCCATATCTGCCCAAGCTTCTAATCGTGCAATTTCCACAGGAGTTAATTTTCTGTCTTGTTGATATTTACAGTTGCTTTCAATTTCCTGTCTTCTGTGAGCTTCTGTCAGTTATTTGTATTGCAATCATGACTCTGAGATTGTGCTTGATTACCTTGTTTTATTGGATACTACATACATGATGTTCTACTCCATGTAGTGAGGGGGATAGTGGAAAACATAGAGGTTGGAGGTCAGCGCCTTTGAGTTGTCTCAGAGCTAGGTAGGTTACAGGTCTCCAGAAGCCTCCCATAAAGCAAGCCCTGACAGCTGCTCCTCCCACGGCAGAAGCAGCTCATCCATCTTTGCCGGCTCTGTGGAAGCGCATGAGGAAGAGGAAGAGGCAGCTCCCTTGCTAGTCGCATTCTTGTCTTTTAGTTCCTGTTCTACAGGCCGGCCAGGTCTGTGCGCGTACAAGGGAGAGGAGGGCGAGTGCACTCTGAAGAGGTGTGAAGGCATAAGGAAGAGATGAGGTCACGGCTTCCTCTGTGCATACATTGCCTTCTTAGGAACTTAGATTTCCTATAGATGATATACTACTACATTAAACCGTGCCTGAGGCTGCATTGGGGCTGCCCACGGACGGATGGGGGGGGGCCTAAAACTGATGTGGGCACTGCACACCCCTTCCCCTCCTGCCCCGACGGCTGCGTGACTCTCTGTGACAGTTCCTCGCCAGGCCAAGTGCCGATGGCCAGAGTGCGACGGGTCAGCAGGACTCATGGCGTTCCACGTACGGCATCATCACGGCACGGCGGGGGGGCCGTGAGCTGCAGTGGGGTAGGCTGAGACGCCAGGCAGCGTGGGAGGTGGGATCCCGCTGTGTGAGCCGCAGGCGGGGTGGGCAGGGTGTCAGGCGTGGACGTGAGCCCCGGCTGCAGGCGTGAGGAGGCCGTGCCCCCGGGGGGTGGGGGGTGCACGGTCCCTCTGATGCACAGTGGTTCCGGAGGGTACCGAAGGGACACAACTTGCTGGTGTGGCAGGGCACTGCTTTTCTATTGTGGCTGTCCTTGCACTGCACAGTCAAATCCTACGTTATTCTCACTACAACGAATCCTAATGAAAGCAAAGGAATTTATTATTTTAGCCAGTTGTGAGTTACTAATTTCCAGTTATTCCTCATTCCTCTTTTACTTCCTTTTTTTGTTTGATACATTGCGGAAAGCTTGCACGTCTTTTCTAACCTCCTTCTGGCTCCTTTTGATTCTCATTTATTCTCTCTCTCTAGCTCTGATTTCATTTTCAGTTTGATTTTCACAAATTTAGTATGTAACGCAGTTTGAAGACTGCAACTTTCATACTAATAATAACCATGGAAACTCGAAGAAAGAAAATGCCACCTTAATACTGAAAATGTATCGTTGCCTGGTTGGAAACATAATGATATTATTGTAAACCTGGCACTGATTTAAAACAGGCTTTGGAAAACACAGGACAGACTGTCAGCAGATCAGAGTTCAGGCTGTTCTCAATATAATTGCTGTAAACGTAGAATAGCTCTAACTAAAGATTTACCAAGTATCAGTGAGGTTTTAGGATGAACCACCTTGATTCTGTCACTAGATCTGTTACAGACTTAATTTTGAACTTGGAGATGCCCACTAATAGATTTCGCCATGTCCACCTGAAATTAATAACAGTAAAATAAACCTGAGAATGTCATGAAGATGCTTCCTGTGCCACTTTCTTTTGAAAATGTTGTAAGGAATAATTAACACCTTTATAAAAGAAAAATTTACATTGGAATGTTATATACATTACTATTAATAATAAAACATTGTGGTAATTAGCTATAGTGCTGGTTTTATTTGCAGGTTTTTGCAAATTTCTGAAACCACGTCTACAAATATGTAATTATAACACAGGAAAGCTGTTGCTGTTTATAACGACAGAAAAAACAAAGTACAGGCAGCAGGAAAGGCTTAATGAAGCCTTCTGTAAATAGCAAGTCAATCATTAGCTAGTCTTAATACATCATTTTCCATGAGATTGCTTTGCGAGAGACTGTATATCTTTGTTACTGAATTACAAGACACGTGTTGCATATGCCTGCAAGGTAGTTATCACTCTTATTTCTGGTATTAACGCTCTTTACTGCTGAATAACTATTTGGAAGCCTTATATAGCACCCAGATTGATTCAGATGACCTGCTCCAGCCTGAGACTAT